CGTCATGACTTACACTGCGCCTCTTCGATCAACCTCCTCGTAAAATCTGCTTAATGTCAGCCCTAGCGCATGCTACTCACTTCAGGCTGTGAATAAGTCTCGTCCACGCTTCTGTCGCATCGTCTGCGCTCGTCTGCTCCTCCTTTTCCTCTCAGATATCTCTTCGGGCAAAGAACTCCGGATCCGAGTAAACTCTTTCATGTGCGGCGCCTTTGGAGCCTTTGGATCCTTTGGGTCCCCGGGCATCATCATTGCAGGACCCACTCCCTGTTCGCATCGCACTGGCCAAAGCAGATTGGTACTCATAATTAGCTACCAAAACCTTGCGTTCGCGCCAATGTCCAATGTTTGTGGTCTGTCTATCGCTCATCGGCCTTCACCTTGTGCGTTACATTGTCATACGTCCAGGTATCAGTGCATACAAAGGCTGTTCCGCCCAGTCCGCAGGCACTATAAATACTCTGACTCCATCTTAGAGTCGCAGTATAGTCTCTGTATCCTGCAACTACACTTTTCACGCACCCCAAGCTCCTCTACATGGCTTCTGTCGACACCGAGACGCCCTCCGCTCTCCACAAGCAGCTCCTGGAACTGCAACGCGGGATAAGGGAGATGCAAGACAACTTGGACAACGATTCGCTCCGGTAAAGCCCAAACACCTTCGCCCGTATTCTGACAGCTGACCAGGAGCATGTATTCGTTTTAGCTGTTTCGGCGTGACCCGAGGCTGCGACATGGAGGCGTGGCGCACAGATGTTTTGCAGGAATGCTCCCTGCAGTGGTCTGTTAACTCCGCCCAGACCTTGCGTCGGTTGCGTCACGCCGCAGACGTCGCTCGAAACCGCCAACCCGCAACTGTCACCCTTCTGCTCGACTCAGTCGCCGGGCTCTCGAACGACATAGAATCCAACGTTGGTCAGGTACTAATATCTCATATATTATGAGGCCATCAAGCTGAACTCCTCTTCTTGCAGCTACGTGAAGATTGGGAAAGTATCAAAGATTTGATGATTCCTGAGACGCGCCCATTCATGCTCCAAGAACTCGCCAAACTCGATGGCACCGTACATCAGTTCCGCGCCCGAGAATTAACCCTGCGCACTGCCTTTGACAATGTGCAGCGGGTTAGCGAGCTACTCAGAGTCCCTGAGGTGCGCAGGCTCAGTGAAGAGATTGATACCTAGAGCTAATCCCGCTCCGAAGGATACCTTTGAGGCCTTCGTCAGCCCGCTGAAGCTCCCCATGAGCGATCATGCTAGGACTTTGGCCGAGCGATTCTGCGACCAGGTCCGATCCCTGTTCGACGAGAGAGACACGGTCAGCGAAGCTGTCCGGCGTCTCTCTCACGACGCTACGGAGGTCTGGTACGAGCTCCAAACATCTAAGGAGGATAGATGTGCAATGATCATTGAGATGGAGGCTTACCACGCTGCCCTCTACGGGCAATTCGACACCCAAGCGGGACTTGTCTCAGATCTAGGAGTACGTATGCGGGCGGTCAACTTCATCGTGAACCTGTACTCAGATTCATCCGCTTGTAGCACCTCAAGAACGAGGTCAAGGCTCGCCAGACTTTGAGGACCGAAGACCACGCTACGGTGTCAGTGGTTGACCTTATTCTTACGACCGCCATAGGCAAGGAAGTGCGTAATGGAGTGATGAACCTCGTCGAGGTCTGTCCATTATAAAATATCTAGATCTCGGTTTCCTGCTCACCTACTGATCACAGGAGCAAGCGCAGGTGAAGAGCTTGTTGGTCGATATCATCGACTACCAGAGGGGAATCGGTGCACTCGTGCAGGAAGTCCGCGGGGCGTTGTTGTGGCTGGGCCATCCGTAGGTGACTCCGACATGGGCATTCGGTTTACTTGAGAGCGTCCTCTACTATGTGCACTGTGCTTTGTATGTTTGTCATGTTGATTGCAATCGGTTCTGGCGCAATTTCTGCACCGAGTCATGGTATTCAAGGCGATCACCGCGAGGGAGGAAGTACTGCGCCGGCTTAAATTTCAACATGCCGCATATCCCATCCTATGACGTGAGTATTCCATGCGTGGTGAGCTTATACATGGGGCATCTTACTGCAGTCGTGGGTGCCGCCGAAAGACCACGTTCTTGGCAGGGGGCGTCGGGGATTGTGACCGGGCGCCGAAGTCACCGCACAAGTCACGCAAGCGCCCGCGGCGGTGCCCGCCGCTAGGGTTACTCCTCTTCTACCTCCTCTTCTACGTATTCTGAGTTACTACCTGCTCAGCGCTCAGCCTGTACACTTGCATCCGCCAATCGATAGCGGGCGGAAAATTATACGCGTTCAAACTTGAAGTCGGTCAAACCATTCACCAGTCTTTAGCGCGTTTTACCGACGTCTTTACGGTGAGAGCTGTATAGTAAAAGCTAAGACGATGCGAGCTGAGTTCTTTCAGAAACTGACCCGATTTGTCACCCCGCTATCTCCATAACATCCTACCATGGCCTATGCGCAAGAGTCTATCCCAGTAAGCAAAAGGCTCCCGTGGAGGAAGGCCCGCAGGTGAGTGGCAGCTTTATCCTCGGGACGCTACGGGGTTCTCATCTCATCGTGCAGGCGGTCCTCTGGGCTATCAACTATATCATCTCCCCCCACAGGACAGGACGATGGCGGAATGGCTATGGTCGTGGATACCGCATGCGGTGATGCGGGAGTACCGCGGATCGGGTACGCTTTCCATTTCTGCCAAGTCAAGAGACCCCCAACGTCTGAACGAACCACTTCTAGTACGATCACGCTGAGCGCGAAGCCTCGCGGCAGGATGCGAGCCACGACGCCACGCTCCTGGGAGCAACCACAGGCTCGGGCTTCCGCCAGTGGTCAGACAAATGCGATGACCTCGTTGGCGGATTTCTCCGCCCGCAAGTCATGGCAACTCTGACCACTCCAAAATCAGAGGCCGACAAGGCCGATGTCAATGCCTGGTTGCATGAGTGAGTCGGTCGAGAAGCCCCTCAGATTTGACGCAAGTCTCAAGGGCGTGTAACAGGGCGTTCGGCGACTCGGAGCTGCGCAACCCGCACGGCAAGCGATTCAGACCAAGGAGCCCGTCCGATGACTCGCGCCATGGCAGAAATCCTTCGTGGTCGTTGTCTCCGTCGCGCAAAAAGAGAAGAAAAAGGTCACGTCCTCTCAACGCGGATTCAATCATGACACTATAGAGCTTCCCCGGTGAGTCGTTACGTCAACTGCGTAACGCCAATTATCAGCTCACGGCTGTCGTCTAGCCTCTTCATATAGGTACACAGCTTACGACGCTTAACCCTTATGCTCCGAATGACGGTGGGAGTACGGTGTATGCTGCCCGAAGGCCAGCGGTCGGAATTGCAGCATGAGAAAGCTACGCAACGACAGGGCGAAAAGAGACATTCGCGCAAAGAGAGAGCGAGGAAAGTAGATTGACAGTGGAAAGACTGGAGTTCCGATAATAGTCAGGCAGGGGCACGTCGGACGCCTGCATGGCGACTCCGTGAAAGCCGAAGTGGGGCGCGTCGATCGCTGGCTCAACCGACGACTCACTCACTCACTCTACTCACTTGCCTTCCCGGCCCTCTCTTCCGTCCGTTGCGTCGGGCACGAGCCTTTGCGCGGGCCTTAGCCAGGGCTCGCTATGCTTCTTTCTTCTATCCTCCCTCATCGCCATCCGAGTATAAGCACTCCTGCTCCACTTTCCCCTCATCCCATCCCCACTTGTACATCTCGCCCTTGCTCTCACCCCTGCGCATCCTGAGTCCCGCGTTTAGCCACCACTCATCACCCTCACCACATACCACTCTCACCGCACACGATGTCCAACTCCGTGCTCAAGTCCTTCGACCCCCTCGCGGCCCACCCCTTCACCAACAACTCCGGGCTCCTCCCCAAGCCTGCCGCCCCCTCGCAGTACCCCCACCACTCGCCATCGAAAGCGTCCCCCGCGAACAACGGCCAGGGCCCCATCATCCTCACCACCTCCCTCGTCTACGCGCCACAGCCCAAGCGGGCCGCGCCCAAGTCATCCGGACATAAGCCCATCTTCGTCCCCTTCCGTCCAGAGCACTCCTCGCCAGAGCTCGAGGACATCCTGCTCAGGAAGAAGTTCGTGGACGCGTTCCATGGCAAGGGGTCATGGGGCATCGACCAGGTCCCTCTACCCTCCGCGGTCCCGTCCTCGGGGAAGCAGTGCAAGGCCCAGTGATGTAATCACCCTCCATACCCCTTGTGATGTTCTATACCCACTGTGAGTCGCGCTTCCTCCCTCCCGCTCGCCATCCCGCTCCGCGTTCGCCCGCCATCCCTCTTTCCGCTCCCTCAACTCAGTCACTCTAATCGGTCCGCGCAGATCATCCTACTGTTATCCCACCACCCACTACCATTTATCACGAAGTCACGACTATGCACCGGCACACGAGTCGTTCCCGCTACCACAGGTCTACTCAAGCGAAGCATGCCGAGTCGCATTGTATTATAGGATGGTTCCTGTAAATAGCGCAGGGTAATGGGCCCTCGTGGTCACGTCTCCGCCACCCCTTCCGTCCGAAAATGACGCGCCTCCGCCATCACTCTTCCCCGACGCCGACACCTCTCCGCCACCACTGCCTCCTGACAGCGTCTACACCTCCTGCTACTCTGAAGAGAACATCTACCTCCTCGCGCAAGCGTTTACTCAACTCTCGGATACCGACTCCACCGCGGACGACCGTGGGCCCTGGCCGTGGCAGATCTACGTCGTCTTCATCTCCAACGGCGGTAAAACGGTCCGTGATTCAATTACCTTCTCTCCACCGCACTTCAAAGTGGCTACAGCATCTTTCATATCGTTAAATTGGCACCAGCGCCGGAATGAAGCTGTCGCGTTTGCTATAGGGCGTCCCGGTGCTCCAAGCTCCATGCGAGCAAAAGCGGTCTATCAATATGAAAGCTGTTGTATTAAAGTCTGCAGGGCCTTCTTAAGCCAACGACTACCTACTTGTACGGCGCCGACGCTCATCGGACATTGGCGCACCTCCTCCACCGTCTAGGTCGCTCTCTGGAGCCAGAAGACACCCAGTGGCGTCGTCGTCTGGGACTATCACGTCGTACTCGTTCTATTACCCCGCCCCCGCACCCCACTCGACCCCGGGTCTGATGGCGCCCCCACGCCCGAGTCGGACTCGCAGAGCCTTGCGGAGCGCCATGCCTGGGTCTACGATTTTGACACGACCCTGCCTATGCCCTGCTCGTGGATAGGTGAGCGTTCCGCCCTGATCGTAGGCACGGCGGGGATTATCACGTTCCCTATGGTAGAAAAGGCGACGCAACTCCACTGGCGCGGCTACCTTTTCGGCGTCTGGCCCCGAACGCGAACGAAAAGGTGGCTGTTTGCGTCGCCTTGTCTGAGAGGGCGAAAGCGAGCTAATCCCCGCCGTGACGGCTTCGGATAATCATGTTGCTCGAGCTCAGCGTGCGCGCGTGGGCACACGATTGCGCTCCTGATGCCGCGCACGTCCGCTGCGCATGCTGACCGCGCTAGACTACATCGTGGGGACGTTTCCCTATGCCGCCGTGCGCGCCCGCAGCTGCGTCGACGAGAGGTTCCACAGGTACGCCCCGCACGCCCTAAACGCGTCCCCGCGCGTCCCCACGGCACTCATCAGATCGCCCTCCCTCTGCTTCCCTGCGTGTAGCACGATCTCGCATAGCGTGTTCAGAGTCATACGCGCCGACGTGTATCCTGATCACTTTGCCTCCGACCGGTCGCACATGGTCAGCAGACATCCTCTTTCCCGTGCTTTATGGACGCGGACCTGTGCTGACCGACTGCCTATCGCGTCGAACGCTATGCGCGAATGCGCCTGCGTGCCTGCTTTGCGTTAGATCACCCCGGCGCTGGCGACGGACCTGGAGACGCAGCGCCCGAGCGGTGGCGCGTCGGAAGGTCGGGGAAGAATCGACGGTGTGTCCTCGCCTCTGTTTGCGCTTCGCGGTCGGCTTCGTAGCTTCCCCGAGCTCATGTCCACACAGAAGCACCCAAGCGGCAGAAGAGGGCCCAAGATACGCCAGCCCGCCACCGGGGTACCCACCAATATGTGGTGCGAAGGCGCGGGCGATGGGAATCGCAAACAACCTGATGCGATCCTTCGTGGCGATGGATGCGCTGCCGGCCCCGCTCGCCGAGGGACGCGAAGGCGAAGACGAGAATTCAGGATCAATGGAGAGCGAGGCGGTTCGGTATGGGCAGATGATGGATATAGACGGCTTCTTGAATTGGCTGGCTGGGAGTCCGGACGCGGGGGCGTGAGGAGCGGGAGGACATGTGCTGGACGGAACGGGGGCTCGAGGGTGGACGACGCGGCTTAGGCGTGGGCGGAGGTGTATGTGGGCGGGAATATATTTCGTTGGCGGTGGCAGTGTTGGACGACGGGGGAGTTGTGCTCTGCGCGCGGACGGAGTCGGATCTCGCTTGCTCGCTGGATCTGACTTCCTGTCAGGGAAATAACTAGGGACTCTGCGAGAATAATGGGTGCTAACTGGCGCTGGGGGGCACTAGGAGAGGTACTTTGGCGGGGCTCGGTTTCGCACTCGGGGTGGGCTGAAAACGCGCGAGACTCGTATTGTGCACGAATATAGCTACGAAAAGTACTACAGAGCCGTCCGCGCAAAAGACGGCCGCAGAGGCCCAGGACACTTCGCGGACAGAGGGCGCCTATTCTGACACGACTCGAAACTGCGAAGTCTCGTGCCGTCGCTCTCCTTCTGCTTCCGCGACTCCTCCGACCTCCTGCCACTTCTTCTTGCTCTGTCTCTCTCCCCGCCGACGTCGAATCCACCGTCTGTCTGCTGGACCTGTCAGCTAGGATCTCTGCAACTTGACAGGCGCCGTACGTACCGTCTTGGACTGCTCGGGCGGGCGGGCGGAATGCGAGGCGTTCGTTACGCGTGCGGGATTTGAGGGCGCTCGCCGTGCTCGAGACTCTGTCGCCGTCGCAGGAGAGTGACCGATACACCGCCGGCTGCCGGAATGGGCACTCTCGAGTGCCAGGGAGGCATCCAGCGCATTCCGGAAATCGCTGCTGCCTGCAGACGCGGGCGTACCGTAACGTTAGCTAGCTGGCAGCGACCGGCACGCATTCACGGCAGGTATGATACTCACATTTTCCGGGGCTGGCCGCACGGGCAATCCCGCACGGAGTGCATCGCATATGACTCCGCCGGCCGGGCCAGTGTTCACGTGTGGGCTCTACGTAGAACCGCAGCTGGAAACTGACGCTTCCCGCCGTATACGTGCTGCTCGATTACGATATTTCAGCCGTAGGTGCTCAAGGAGTGAGCTGCTTACCTTTTCCTTCAGCTGCCCTGAAACCCTCCACCCGAGCGCGTCCAGAGGATCGCCTGTACAGCGTGGACCGCCCGTCTCACCGGCCGCCGCCGCGACGTGAAATCTCCCTTCGACATTGGCCGTCGCATATTGCGGGAGGATGAGAGCGCGAGCACAACTCGCTTCGCGGGACGCCACAAAGCCTTTGACGCCTCAACGCGTCAGGCACACTCCGGGCCTCTGGCGCCTATCTCCACACACTCGAGACGGCGAAGTCTCGCGCCGCTATCCTGCTGCTCTCCACCACGACCTTCGACGTTCGCTACACCACCTCGTTCTCGCTCTGGATCTGCTCTTGGCGACGCACAGTATGCCTGCCCCGAGCATCCGTCCTCCGCCGCTACGTCAGGCGTCTGCCACCCGGACATCGTCAGCCGAGAGGTCGAGGATCGAGAGAAGGTACGTACCAGCTCCTGTTTCCCATCGCCTGAGTCCGCGCGCGCAGCTGCCTCGGCGCGTGGCCTGGGCGCGCGCGTGGGGCTTCCCGCCCGTGCTCGAAATCATGCTGCGGTCGCAGCAGAACTGCAATGAGCACGCGAAGGACTCGATGGGCGTGCTAGCGTCTTCTATCTGGTGCGTCCGGAACACTCCGGACGGGCGCGGTCACAGGTCACCGTGGACCCCGCCGCTCCGCCGCATCGTACCAAACCTGTCACACCAGTAGCGACAGAAGATGCGCGCGGAGTGGACGTACCTCTTGCGCCCCTGGCCCATCACCCTGTACAGGTCGGGCGGTGCGCAGGTCGCGTCCTTCATCGGCGTCAGCCGCAATGCGTTCTTGTTGCAAGCGGCCGAGTTTTGCGACACCCTCTGCGACGCGGGCCTTTTTTTCCGTCACACGCTGGGCCTTGGCGTTCTTCTGCTCCTTCTTCGCAGCGGCTGCAAAGGTGATCTCGGCCTTAGTGCGTGGAACTAAGCCTGCCGCCTTTGCAGGACGAGCCACCTGCGTAGACATGCGGGTCGCATAGCGACGCGGCGGAATCACAACGTCTGCAACAATCTCGAGTTAATAACAGTGTCAGCGAGGGAGAGAAATCTGACTAACCTGGGACAACGTCGACCTGCGGCGGAGATGAGTACCTGCAGCCGCTCGGATCGTGCTCGACCGCTACTCAACGCCCAGCCCCTATCTTGGCACGGTGAGCTCATTCCCCTCGGTGATCCCTGCCCCGTCGCTCCTATCGCTAGTAGCCCTGTACCTCGTCTACGACCCGAATTCACCTCGTTCTCGCACGGCCACGTCCGGCGCGGGGCTCCGGCCCGTTACCCCCGCTCTCGTTCTCATTCGCGCGCTTGATTCTCCTATCTCCTATTACAGGGAGCACTGCGCGTCGAAACGAATGCGGTTTGTTCACATATCGAGCGAGCGAGCGAGCACGAGGGGCATATACACGTACTAATACTCACGCAAGCGTGTTTGTGGCGTAACCGGCTCGTGGTGACTCGTCTTTCTTTGCAAAAACCGATAAGCAAGTCGATCCAAAGCTGAAGATGCATTCTTCGATATTCAACAAACCAAGTGGGGTCGCAAAATGGGCATACGGGGGTATTCTACGTTCTGACGCGCATCCTCGGCAGCCTGCCCCACCCCATGTGGGATCCGATCCTCACGCTACGAATCCTCCAGCGAGGACAACCTGGCATCAATGCTCTGTAGGCTCTCTCCGAGCGACGCAACAGTCTCCTGTCTTTGGAGAACATGAGTCATTATGCGCTGGGACTCAGTTTGGTTCTGTATAATGTGTAAGGACATTGATGCCGAAGGAAGCGACGGTGAACGCATGCGCACCTCCACGAGCTTGTCTACATCAGCACGGATTCGTCTGGCGTCACCTTCGACGATGGCTAGGTCGATCGCGTCTATATCAACCCCATCCTGGCACGCCAAGGACATCCACCATGGCCTGAGGTCGAGCTTCAAGAGCTGGAATGGTGTTAACGAGTTAGAGTACAGCCCCATTTCCGCATTTCGTGAGCACATACCGACAAATCAGCCTGAATGTCGGCCTGTGTAGCGAAGTGTTTGAATAGGAGAACATGGAGGTGCTCCATGTCAGAGAGCGTAACGCGTCTCTCCTCTGATACACTGAGATTGTTACCGATGGTCGGTACTCTCGCAGAGATCTGCAATGCATGCTGTGAGAACATATCTCGCTCTTCCCGCACACCCCGTATTTTGTCGCAGATTCGCTCAAGCTTGACATGAGCCTGATCCCCCAAAGGATGCTTCAGCGGGTCCAGAAAGACCTCGAATTGCTCCTATAGCATAGGAAAATGGCTGAGCACAGCACGCTATTGCACCGAAAAATTGACATACCTCAGGCACCTCGAGGAAGTGCGCCAGACGCAACATGTCGCTATAGCGAGCAGCCAAGACCTTCCGTGCGTGGTCGAATTGTGAAATAGAAGAGCGCATCGTAGCCAGCTCCCTAGCCATCTGCAGCTGGGTCTCTTGGCTCGCAAAGGCCGTAGTCCTTGCCCAGGCGACATGGATCTTATATATATGCATCAGTTAAATTGATGCGAGCCCATTATAACACACGCCATACCTGATCAACAGTAGCTTGCATCCCGAGAGTGAGCGTAGCAGCTTCCCGGAGTTTTCGAGGTATGGTCCCGTCGTCTTCGGCGGAGCGAGCAGTCTCCGCCATGCCTCGAAGCTTCTGCAAGATATCTGCGCAATCTGCTGCATACATCACGGCGAGCTCATCGAGGAGGTTCTCACGCCACGCGTTGAGGTCCCCACCGACAGGCAGGCCGACGCGTCTAATGAGATCGCACCAAAGTCAAACATAGTTGAAATAGAAGGGGTTCAGGCTTACTGATATAAGTCGAGGTTCAAGTTGTCTTGCATCTCCCTTATCCCGCGTTGCAGTTCCAGGAGCTGCTTGTGGAGAGCGGAGGGCGTCTCGGTGTCGACAGAAGCCATGTAGAGGAGCTTGGGGTGCGTGAAAAGTGTAGTTGCAGGATACAGAGACTATACTGCGACTCTAAGATGGAGTCAGAGTATTTATAGTGCCTGCGGACTGGGCGGAACAGCCTTTGTATGCACTGATACCTGGACGTATGACAATGTAACGCACAAGGTGAAGGCCGATGAGCGATAGACAGACCACAAACATTGGACATTGGCGCGAACGCAAGGTTTTGGTAGCTAATTATGAGTACCAATCTGCTTTGGCCAGTGCGATGCGAACAGGGAGTGGGTCCTGCAATGATGATGCCCGGGGACCCAAAGGATCCAAAGGCTCCAAAGGCGCCGCACATGAAAGAGTTTACTCGGATCCGGAGTTCTTTGCCCGAAGAGATATCTGAGAGGAAAAGGAGGAGCAGACGAG